TTTAGTTTCGGCATGTCAATATTTGGTAGAAAATCATCCATTTCACCCAGATTCTCAAACTTATTAGCATAAAAGTTTGAGAAGCATTCCCTTATAATGTTCTGAATCTTTTTTTTTCCCCTGTGGTGATGTTTCCATTCTCATCTGAGTTTGCTTATTTGGGTGTGTTCTCTTTTTTTCTTGATAAGATTTTCTAAGGGTCTGTCAATTTTGTTAAATTTTTTGAAGAACCAACTCTTTGTTTTGTTGATTCTGTTTTTTGTTTTTTCGATTCTAATTCATTTAATTCTGATTTAATTTTAATTGTTTCCATCTACTGGATTCCTTCAGCTTTTTAAGTCTGATGCTTTACCACTTGTTATAGCTCTACTTCTGATATTTTGCTGATTAATTAGAGATAAGTCTCACAGACTTTCCTAAAAGGGCTGATTTCAAACCACAACCCTCTGATCTCAGCCTCCTGAGTAGCTAGAATTATAGCCTAAACCACCAGTGCATGACTTCCCTAAGTTTCTTTATTGTGTCTCATTTTACTTCATCTTGAAATAGTTTTCTAGAGTCTTGTTTTCTATTTGGCCTTTCTATAGGGGATAGCATTCCAACAATATCACTGGATTAATTCCAGAGAGCATCAGGATCTTCAGACCTCTAGGTTTACAGTTTTATTTTAAATTTATTAAAACAAATGGCGACAGGGTTTTACTATGTAGCCCAGGCTGGGCTCAAATCTGTGATTCCCCTTGCCTCAGCCTTCTAAGTGCTATAGTTTTACAGAAAAGTTTCTGAGAAATAAAGGAACTGAAAGTAGACAAAAGTGTCTGCAAGTAGTGGCTATAATTTAATTATTAGCTTTTGAAGATACCTTGTGGATTTTGGCCTGTGGCCCCAAGTGATTCTCAACTGGGATGATATTACTCTTCAGGTGATATTTGACACTGTTTGAATACATTTTTGGTTGCTGTAACTGAGAAGTGAGATGGAATGCAGTTGACATGTAGTGGGAAGAGAACATGGATACTGCAAAACATTCCATAATGCACACGACATTCCTCCATGACAGAAGAAATCTCTCTAGTATGAAATATCAACACTGCTGTATTGAGAAACACTGAACTTCTTAACTGTTTCCCACCCACCAGTATATGCCTAGGCAGTATCTTACTACCTAGTCACAATGGACTCTGATGTATCACACATGTCATAATCTGACATGTCATGATCTGTTGAGCCTTAAAACCAAAGCAACCTGCCAGCTGCTGGCAGAGTCAAGATAACCATCCGCCAGACCAGCTGTTTCCCAGTAAGCCACAGTTCCTGCATCTTCCACTTCTTCCAACAAAAAACTGATCATCATGCACTGCCTTGTGAGTACAGCCAGCCTTTGTTATTGACAAAGAATTGGTTCTAGTACCCTAGTGACTACTAAAATCTGTGACTGGCCACATGAAATGATAAGGTACTGGCATAGAATGTAGGCATACTGTTTTATAAATATATTGTGTGTGTATGCCAGTACTAGGTCTTGAACTCAAGGCCTAGATATTGTGTTGCTGCTTTTTGTTGCTCAAGACTAGTATTCTACCTCCTGAGTCAAGCTCTGCTTCTGGCTTTTTGGTGGTTAACTGGAGGGAGATAACAGTTTCACAGATTTTCCTCCGTAGGCTGGCTTTGAATCATGATACTCAGATCTTAGGCCCCTGAGTAGCTAGGATTACAGGTGTGAATCACTCATACCCAGCTCTGTCCCATATATTATAATCTCTAGGTTTCCCAGTAACTAATACCAAATGAGCATTTGCTGTAACGTATTCTTTAGGGAAGAAAAAGTTCTACATATCTTCAGTACAAATGCAATTTCATTTATTTATTTAAATTTCTAGTTTTAATAATAATAATAAATAATAATTGTCTGCTCTTTCTTAGTCAATGTAGCTGAAGATTTCTGTCTTATAAATCTTGTCAAAGAATCAGCATTGATTTCATTTGTTTTGTTGCTTAAGATCACAATTCTTACTTTTAACTGACAAATTGTATATCATATACAATATGTTTTTAATTGTAAAATGTCTACATTTTGTTACTATATACACAATTTCATATAATTATCATTTTTGTAATAAGAATGCTCAAACATCTACTTTCAGAAATTTTGAAGAACATACTGCATTGTTATCATCATTATCATGTTATACAACCCTTGATCTTATACCTCCTCATTGAAATTTGTATTCTTGACCAGCATTATTCTAATCCTCCACCCATGCATGGTTGAGGCTGGTATGAGGGCTTGAACTCTGGGCCTTGAGCTCTGAGTTGGCTAGTGGCTGGTGCTTTACCACTTGAACCATGTCTCCAGTTCCTTCTTTTTGCTGGTTAATTAGACATAAGAGTCTTCTGGATTGTCTGCCTAAGCTAACTTTGACCTCTGATCTCAGATCTCAGCTTCCTGAGTAGTTAGGATTCTAGATGTGAACCACTAACCCTTGGAACCAGTGAATTTTTTTCAAATTTTATTGTTATTATAGAGGTCATGTACAGAAAGATTATAATTACATGAGTCAGGTAATAAGTATAATTCCTTTCACACAATGTCTTCTGTTCCATTATTCTCTCCCCGTGCCTCTCATTAATGTAATTTTTGCCAGTCCAGGGGCTTGAACTCAGAGCCTGGGCATTGTCCCTGAGCTTCTTTTGCTCAAGGATAGTACTCTACAACTTGAGTCATAGTGCCACTTCTGACTTTTTCTGTTTATATGGTACTGCATGCTAGACAAGCACTCTACTACTAAGCCACATTCCCAGACCAACAAATGTAATTTTTAAAAGCTATTTTCAATCTGTTGTTGGTTGAATCTTGGGGATGTGGACATAGAATCAAACGAATATTTTTTTTTATCAGTCCTGGAGACTTGAACTCAGGGCCTAAACACTGTCCCTTATCTTTTTCACACAAGATTGGCACTTTACCAATTGAGTACAGCTTTACTCTCAGCTTTTTTTTTTTTTGCTGTTGGTCATGGGGCTTGAACTCAGGGCCTCGTTGCTGTCCCTAAGCTCTTTTGCACTCTACCACTTTGAGTCACAACGCCACTTCTGGTTTTCTGGTGGTTAACTGGAGATAGTCTCATGGACTTTCTTGCTCAGGTTGGCTTTGAACCATGATCTCATCCTCTCAGATCTCAGCCTCGTGAGTTGCTGGGATTACAGGCATGAGCCCCTAGCACCCAACCACTTCCAGGTTTTTGCTAGTTAATTGGACATAAGAATCTCATGGAGGGGGTGGGAAAGTGGCTCACTGGAAGAGTGTTTGCCTCACATGCATGAGGCCCTGGGTTTGATTCCTCAGCACCACATAAACAAAAAAACCCAGAAGTGGCCCTGTGGCTCAAGTGGTAGAGCACTAGCCTTGAGGGACAGTGCCCAGGCCCAGAATTCAAGCCCCACAACTGACAAAAAAAAAAGAGTCTCATGGAGTTTCTTGCCTGGGCTACTTTTGAACTGCAAGCCTCAGACCTCAGTCTTCTCAATAGCTAGGATTAAGCCACTTGGGCCTGGCTGAACCCAGCAAATATGAAGCCATAGATTTCATTGAGTCAACTGTGATGTCTGGGATTTGGGGACACTCCCGGGCTTTTCTTGACAACAATGCCTTATCCTTTCATGTCATTCTTTATTTAATGTCTCTCTCTGAAAAGAAAGAAATTCTGTGGGCAGCACAGGAATTGGCTGAGTATTTTTAATATGATTTTATTGTTATTATTAAGGTATTTTATGGAAGAGTTACCACTTCACAGTTCAGTTTATGCATATATTTCTCTTTTGGACAATGTTATCTGTTCCTTTGCTCCCCTCCCCGCCCCCATTTTCCCCTCCTGTCCCTGCCTAAGTAGTTCATTTTCCATATAATATATACTGAATAACATGATTACATTTATTTATCTTTCCTCCCTCCTTTTTGTGTCCTCTTCTATACCCTAAGAAGCAGAAAAGGAAAATAAAAAGTACACATAGCAAAAACAACTGGTTCTTAGTGTTTTTTTTTTGTCAGTCATTGGGCTTGAACTCTGGGCCTGGCTGTTGTCCCTCACCTCTTCAGCTCAAGGCTAGTGCTCTACCACTTGAGCCACAGTACCACTTCCGGTTTCCTGGTGGTTAACTGGAGATAAGTGTCTCATGGACATTTCTGCCCAGGGTGGCTTTGAACTGCAACCTTCAGATCTCAGCCTTCTGAGTAGCTAGTTTGAGCTACCAGCACCCAGCATTCTTTGTATTTTTTTTTGTATGTGTGTCCAGGCTTGGGCTTGAACTCAGGGCCTAGGCACAGTCCCTGAGCTTATTTTGCTCAAGGCTAGCACTCTACGACTTGAGCCACAGTGCCACATCTGGCTTTTTCTGTGTATGTGGTACTGAGGAATCGAACCCAGTACTTCATGCATACTAGGCAAGCACTCTACCTACAATGATCCTACAATACGTTGTGCAAGAAAACTTATGGGCCCATACATTGTTTTGTCTATAGAATTTTATGTTATGCTACCAATAAATACAATATTATTTCCCTTGAATTCCTCACAGTTTTACTTCTTTTTCTATTTGAATTCATCATATGACAATCTTTTTACTTTAGTCTAAGATCAGTTGTTTCATTCCTGCTTAAAATTCACTAGATCTCCAGTTTGGTTTTTGCTAACTGATACTTTTCCTCAGGATAAAATTATTTGGGACAATACTCTGTAAAGGGCAGGTCTTTAAATTCTGGATAACTGAAAACTTGTGTGAAATTTTGTGCTTGTGTGAGTTATACAGTGCAACCAATTGTCATACAATCATGAAAGTACTTTGCTAGATTGAAGTAAAGTGCTTTGAGATTTTGTGGTACTTACAATGCTAGCCTGAGTGAATAGGACCCCTTTTCCTAGTAATTTGGTTACAATATAAAGCTGTATTTGAACTTGGACTCTTTTGATAATTAAAATACCTTGACCTTTGTTTTGCCACAGGTCTTACAGAACATCTTGGACACCGAGAAAGAATATGCTAAAGAACTCCAGTCTCTGCTTGTTACTTACCTAAGACCCTTGCAGTCCAATAACAAGTAAGATTTTAATTTTAAACCCTAGTTAAGGGCTGGGAAGATGGCTCAGTGGTAGAATGCTTGCCTTGCATACATGAGGCCCTGGGTTTGATTCCTCAGCACCACATAAGCAGAAAAAATGCTGGAAGTGGTGCTGTGGCTCAAATGGTGGAGTGCTAGCCTTGAGCTGAAGAGCTGAGGGACAGCGCCTAGGCCTAGAGTTCAGTACCCATGACCGACAAACAATAGCAACAACAACAACAACAAAAAACCCTAGTGAAATAAAGCCAGAAAATGTCAGCATATGGAGTCATTACTCTTATGTCACTGAATAATTGATTTTGCCCTTTAGAAGAATTTCCACAGATCACAGGTTGCCAAGAACATAGTCAGGGCAACAGAAATTATGCAAGATGTTGCTTTTGGAAAGCTTAGCTGGCTTTTATGAGGAAGGGATGAATATATCTGGATTTCCACATGTTATCATTTTTATCTTGTATATTTCTTGCCTATTGTGCACTTAGAATTTGATAAACTTAAACATTGTAAGCACTATAATTTTTCCATATTTGTGGGAAATAATGTGATATTTCCGTTGCATGTGAGCAATGTGTAATGATCAGATTACGTCATTGCTATGCCTCTCACCTCATCCATATGCCATTTCTTCTTTGTGTTGGGAACTTTAAAAATCCTTTCCACTAGCTATGTTAACAGCTACAAGAAATGGTTGTCAATCACAGATAACCTGTTGTGCTATAGAGCATTAGATGTTATCTTTCTTATGAAGCTGCACCCTGAGGTCTGTTTATATCCTTTCTCCATCTCTTCTGTTCCTTCATTTCTAGCTCAGACTCTGCTAACTTCTATTCCACTCTCTGTTTCTGAGATTTTTTTGTTTTTGCTTCTACATATCTTGTCCCATTTTTGTGTGTCAGTACTGGGGCTTAAACTCAGGGCCTAGGTGTTGTCACTTAGTTTTCTTTTTCTTTCTTTCTTTCTTTTTTTGGTCGGTGTGGGGCTTGAACTCTGGGTCTGGGCACTGTCCCTCAGCTCTTCAGCTCAAGGAGAGCACTCTACCACTTGAGCTACAGCACCACTTCTGGTTTTCTAGTGGTTTATTGGAGATTGGAGTCTCAAGGTCTTTCCTGCACGGGCTGGCTTTGAACTGTGATCCTCAGATCTTAGCCTCCTGAGTAGCTAGGATTACAGGCCTGAGCCACCAGCGCCCGGCTTTTAGCTTTATTTTTCAAGGCTAGTATTGTACCACTTGAGCCATAGATCTACTTCTGACTTTTTTTGTAGTTAAATGGAGTTAAGAGTCTTACAGACTTTCTTCCCTGGGCTGATTTTGAATCATGATCCTCAGAACTAAGCCTTTTGAGTAGCTAAGATGACAGATGTGAGTCACTAGTGCTCATCTGTAGTGCATTTTAAAGTGATGTATCCAAAGGAGGAGACAACAATGCTCAATAGGAAATTTACTCATTACCTTGCTCATGTAACTGTAACCCCTCTGTACAGCATTTTTACAATAAAAAAGTACCAAAAAGTGATGTATCCAGTTTTATCATAGAGAAAAAGGACTTCCTGTGCTTTTATTCGGAAGGCACATAAACTGGAAATTCTCATGCTCATTCTGACCTTAGCTTGCCAAAACAGAACCTCTTTCCCATGCTCTGAGAATAGAAAGAGTATGGCATTTTGTGAATGTTCCTGAGAGCATTTCAAGCCTGTTTCACTCTGGCAAACTGTGTGAATGACAATAAGATGTCAAAGTCTTTTTGAAAACAAATGTTCAAAACTTATTTTGATCTAAAGCCTGAATAGAAAAGTTTAGTTTTTACTCAAGAAATATATTGACCAAACATTTTTGATACTTACAGGCACAGCATCGTTGGCATTTATTTGCTATTTGGATTGATTACATTTCATTAGCAATGGTGATCTATGTCAAGTAGAAAATTAACCATCAGATCACACCGTGGAGGGCAAAGCTTCCTCTCTTGTTGATGAGCTGACTTTTTTGGACTATCAACTTTAGACTTATGTACGTTTAATATATTTTACTATTATTTCCCTTTCTTTTTCCAAATCTTGTTTGTTTAGGCACAATGTCTTGACAAATTTCTAATTTGGTGATTATTGTTTTTTGTGCTGCTCCAGAGGCTTGAACTCAGGTCCTGGGTACTGTCCCTGTGCTCATTTGCTAAAGGCTAATAATGCTCTACCAGTTGAGCCACAGCTCCATTTCTAGCTTTTTTGGTGGTTAATTAGCCAGCCTGAGCTGGCTTCGAACCACAATCCTCAGATCTCAGCCTCTTGAATAGCTAGGATCACAGGTGTGGAGCCACCAGCACCTGGATGATTTAGTGATTTTTATGACACTACAGGAATCCTTTCTTCAGTAGGGAAGGGTTTTGTATTACTTTCTTGTAAAAGTTTGGATATGATCAAAAACACAGTGTTTGTTTTTTTTGTTTTTTGTTTTTTGGGTCCAGTCGTGGGGCCTGAACTCTGGGCCTGGGCGCTGTCCCTCAGCTCTTCAGCTCAAGGCTAGCGCTCTACCATTTGAGACACAACACCACTTCCGGCTTTTTTCTTTTTGCTTATGTGGTGCTGAGGAATTGAACCCAGGCCTCATGCATGCAAGGCAAGCGCTCTACCACTGAGCCACCTTCCCAGCCCCCAACACAGTGTTTTGTTATTGTGTGTGACGTGAAGTGTTCTGTGAATCATGTAGGTTTGGATGGGATCTCGTTCTTCCATTGAGTCTAGTGCCTTGGGAGAAATGACTTGCTCCACTGAAAAGAAACAAGTCCATTTAGGTGCTGATGGCTCATGCCTGTAATCCTAGTTACTCAGGAGACTGAGATCTCTGTGACGATCCCAGTTTGAAGTCACCTTGGGCAGAAAAGTGTGAGACTCTCATCTCCGATTACCCAGCCAAAAGCTGTAACTGCAGATATGGCTCTAGTGGTCGACCACCAGCCATGAGCAGAAAAGCTGAACCTAAGCAGCACTGGCACACACACACACACACACACACACACACACACACACACACACACACACACACACACCACACACACCAAACAAAAAAGAGAAAATAAGGTCTAGATATTTCTTGCCTTGTTGATCACATAGCCTGTCTCTTCCCACTAAATACAATGTGCCCTCTAGAGACAAATAGGACAGAAAGTAAAATGATAATCCTAGGAGGGAGATGGTAAGATTTCAAATGAGGGGGAGGCCAGTTAGCAAGCAAGAAACAGGCAGAAAGAAAAGAGCAGAAATGGTGAGAGACCTGAGGCAGACCTAGACTGTTCCTCTTTGCATTCAGGATACAGTTATAGTAAGTTTGCATTCATTCTGACTGTCTCATCAGCCCCCAGATCAGTTGGGCAAAGTGGAATGTTTATTGTCTGATTCAGAATTTCCTGGGGCTGGGAAGGTGGCTCAGTGGTAGAGCGCTTGCCTTGCATGCATGAGGCCCTGGGTTTGATTCCTCAGCACCACATAAGCAAAAATGAAAAAAGCTGGAAGTGGTGCTGTGGCTCAAGTGGTAGAGAGCTAGCCTTGAGCTGAAGAGCTGAGGGACAGCACCCAGGCCCAAAGTTCAGGCCCCATGGCCAGATCAAAAAAAAAGTTCCTAGTCAGGCTTAGGTAAACTTCTGACTCTGCATGTCACTGCTAGGAGACAGAAGCAGCCAGGATGGCTGTCTGGCAGTTTTGCCATTATAAGGTTTTCCAGCTTGTGGTTCAGGAGGGTATTATAACAGAGGAACAGGGAGCTTTTTATACTCTGAGTTTCTGATAATGTTTGTTTGGCTTTCTCCTTTTGTATTGGTCGGAAAAAATGATTCTCTTGGAAATATCCACCTCAGATTACATATTCTTATTTTTTTAAGTCTTGTGTATATGGGGATCACAAATATATTTTGCCAGTCCTGGGTTTTGAACTCTGGACCTGGATGCTGTCCCTGAGCTTTTGTGCTTAAACTCTGTGACTTGAGCACAGCTTCACTTGCAGCTCCTTTTGTAGTTTATTGGAGATAAGAATTTCTTGTTTGGGCTGGCTTCCAACTGTGATTCTCAGATATCATCCCTCTGTGTAGATAGGATTATAGGCATGAGTGACTATGCCTGGTCATAATTATATTTAAAGTAAGTGAGAGCTAGAAACAAATATCATAGTTACACAGACATCATACACACACACACACACACACACACACACACACACACATATCACTTAACTTTAACCTTTGGAGTGAAACTTAGAAACTTTGGCTAGGGAAGATATAGGTAGAAAGCACTGACAAAATAAGAACTTTAGGCAGGTGCTGGTGGCTCACGCCTGTAATCCTAGCTACTCAGGAAGCTGAGATCTGAAGATCTCAGTTCAAAGCCAGCCCAGGCAAGAAAGTTCGTGAGACTCTTGTCTCCAATAAACCACCAGAAAACTGAAAGTGGCACTGTAGCTCAAATGGTAGACCTCTTGCCTTGAGCTGAAGGGCAGAGGGACAGCGCCCAGGCCAAGTTCAAGCCGCACGACCAACAACAAAAAAAAAAAAAAAAAAAGAAAGAAAATATGTCCTGAATAAGACTAGAATGTGTCTTAGTGGTACAGCGCTTGCCTAGTATTCATGAAGCCCTGAGTTCAGTTCTTCAATACCATATAAACAAAAAAAGCTGGAAGTGGTGTTGTAGCTCAAGTGGTAGAATGCAAACCTTGAGCAAAAGGAGCTCAGGGTCGGTGCCAAGGCCCTGAGTTCAGGCCCCAAGACTAGCCAAAAAAAAAGAACTTTAGGTTAGGGGAGACAGTGCCAGTGAACTCAAATACACTTGTTTTTATTGTACAAAAACATCTAATATATACAATGTCCATTTGGTTCAATATATATTACATAAAATAGCATGTCATTTTGCTTGCATTACATTTACACACCTAGTAAAATTTTGCATAATACTAACATAAGGCTTAGACATACAGACTGAATATTAGGATGTTAAATTTTAATCACTTAATATATGACTTTATATAAACAGATATTTAAATGAAACATGATTTAGTTGTAGGATTTTTTTTGGGGGGGTCTGGTTGTGGCCTGAACTCTGGGCCTGGGCGCTGTCCCTCAGCTCAAGGCTCAAGGCTAGCACTCTACCACTTGAGCCACAGCGCCACTTCCAGCTTTTTTTTTTCTGCTTATGTGGTGCTGAGGAATTGAACCCTGGGCCTCATGCATGCAAGGCAAGCACTCTACCACTGAGCCACCTTCCCAGCCCCTGTAGGATTATTCTTTCATTTGTGAAATTAATTTTTTAATTTGATTTTGTTGTAAAGGTGATGTGTACAGTTACATAAGTAAGGTAATGAGTACATTTCTTGTTAGTCCTGGGGCTTGAACTCTGCTCCTGGGCTCTGTCCTTGAACTTCTTTTGCTCAAGGCTAGTGCTCTACCACTTGAGCACAATGCCACTTCCAGCCTTTTCTGAGTTTATTGGAGATAAGAGCTCACAGGGACTTTTTTTCCCAGGCTGGCTTTGAAAGGCAATCCTTAGATCTTAGCCTCCTGAGTAGCTAGGATTATAGGTGTGAGTCCTCAGTACCTGTCTAGTTATAAGATTATATATTAGTAAGGAGAAAGAATATGTATAATACAATGGCCAGTGAAACAAGCCTAAAAAATTTCTTCCCTAGAGTGGTTAAAGACTTGCTGTCTGGAGTTAGACTATTTGGGCTCAGTTTCTTTCTTTGCCATTCATTGGTTTGTATCTTTGGTTGACTGAATTAAGTTCTCTGTACCTGGGTTGTCTCACCTGTGAAATGTAGACAGCAATGGTCCCTGTCTTGTGAGCTCCTATTTGGGAAATGCTTGCATAACTTGTCAGCACTCACTGATGAGGGCTGGCTCTTATTCTTACCACTTATCGTTTGGTATGAGAAGTATGGAAAAGAACATTCTTTATACAAAGCCTTTGAATAAAATAGTTCAACTTGGGCTGGGAAGGTGGCTCAGTGGTAGAGTGCTTGTTTTGCATGCATGAGGTCCTGAAGTGGTCCTGTGGCTCAAGTGGTAGGGCTATAGCCTTGAGGTGAAGAGCTGAGGGACAGCACCCAGGCCCAGAGTTCAAGTCCCACAACCAACCAAAAAAAATAGTTCAACTTGACTTAACTATTCCACTTCGTAAACAAAGAAATATCCAAAAAAAAGAGCACTATTTTTTCCTTCTACTTCCTTTCATGAAGAATCTTTTGGTATATGTGTATTTTAATTCTGGAGAAAGATGATTTTTACTACTTTTTCTGTGCATTATTTCAGTGTAGATATCTTTGTTTACTTTTTTAGGTTCTGTAGTAGAATATACCAATGATTGTGTGTGTGTGTGTGTGTGTGTGTGTGTGTGTGTGTGTGTGGCCTGGGTTCTGACCCTGTTTCTTTACTCAAGGATAGCACTGTACAATTTGAGCCACAGCCTCACAGCCTTTTTGGTGATTAATTGGAGATAAGCGTCACATGGACTTTCCTGCCTGGGCTGGCTTTGAATTGCAATCATCAGATCTCAGCCTCTTGAATAGCTAGGATTACCAGCATGAGATACTGGCACCCAACCTTACAAAGGTTTTTTTTTTAATGCTTATTTCCATCTACACTGTATTTTTGTCTATTTAGATAGTTAGCTATTGAGTACTTATTATCCATATTATTTATAGCTTCATAAAATACCAAAAAAGAGCTGTTTCTTTATGATAACTGGTTATTTGGGATCATTATTCCTATTGTAGGAAAGGGAAACCGAGGAGAAAAGCATAAGGAGATTGTGTAAAGCCATAGATTTGGTGAAATTTTTTAAAAAAAGTTAAAATACAGGATTGTTTCTCTACATTTGTCCAATATTAGGAGTCTGTCTGCTAACTAGACCACAGAAAGATAGTTAAAGTCATCCTTAAAAGATTAGCTAAACCTACATGTATTTGTTTTCAGTCTGAGTACTGTGGAATTTTCATCTTTACTGGGAAACTTTGAAGAAGTATGTACATTTCAACAGACACTCTGCCAAGCCTTGGAAGACTGCTCCAAGTAAGTGAGTCGTATTTGTTAGGATGACCCGCTGAGAGTTGTTTTGTGAGTTTTGTTTCCTTTTAACCCTACCCCTAACCCTATGCCTTGAATAAGGGCATTCCATACTTAGCATTTACTATAGCTTTGATCCATTGTTCCAGAACCTAATAACAATACAGAGAAAATGCACTAGGTGGAGATGTTCACAATATCAAATCACTAGACATCTAGTAAATTTATATGTGACAATAATGAAACATTAATTTACTGTTTCTGGTCAATGTAAAAGTTATATAAGGTATTAATTCATGATGGACGACAGCTTTAATATGTGTTAGATCCCTTGTGCATAGTACAGATTACTTGGGAAAGTCATTCAGATTATTCTATTTCAAAAGTCCTTTCCTCCCTCCCTCTTACCCTCTTTCCCTTTCTCCCTTCCTCCTTGCTAACCCTCCTCCCTCTGTTGCTCCTCCACACTTTCTGTTAGGAATTGGATCCAGATAAGTATGCATTTGAAGCACGCTCTTTACCACTAAGCTCCACCTCCAGCCACATTTGATTCTCTTTTAGTCATTCCTATTATATTATATTACATAGTAAGTGGAAGAACAGAAAGCATAGCTGTATGTGAACAACAGCAGGTTTTTGATGGCTGGTATACTGATTACTGAAGTGTTCAACATTATACTACAGTTACCTAGAATTGACCCTTGGCAATATGTCTCTGTTGCAAGATTAATTTTGCAAACAGGATATTTTGGAGAAATCTGTTACTTTCATCTATATTGGAAATTTGAGAAGGATGGCCCCTTTCTTGAGCTCTCTAAGACATAGCTTTGTCCAGGATAGGATAGAAGAGATACCACAATATAGACACTGGACAAGCAACTTCACATGCCAGTAGGAATGTAGATAATTAATATGGAAAGATACTTGCTAAATGAAAAGGGCAGATTACAAACTAGATTTATAATCCCTGTTTTTTTTATTTTATGGAGCAACACATAGGGTAAAAAACCTATGGAAGGTGCCAAAATTGTTATCATAATAGATATGCCTGAATAGTGTGATTCTTGGTAATTTTTAAAAATTTCTTATGCCTTTCTGATTTTTCTATAAATGAAAACTGGCAACTTGTAATTTAAAAAGTAATTAAAATGATGTGATCACTCTGTGGAGCAACTACCAGGTCAACCACAGTGCAATAATATTCTTTTGTGGTGTGTTGCTTTTGAATTCAAGTACTTTAGCTTGCACTTGAACTTCAGATAAATTAGCTGAGTATTTTTAGCATGCGAAGCCAAATTCAAATATAACCATCTTAAAAACAACTACCCCTAGTGGTTAATTCAACATAAGTATCTGACCCTGCTTATTAGAGCTATGTTTGGGGACTAGAGTTGAAATCAATAGCCAAAAAATCTACATTTCACAGATAGGATATTTCTAATATAGACTTTAAAGCAAAACAATGGCAAAACATTCAGAAGGTTTCCATGGTGCCAGGGTTAATTGGAGTCATCTTCTTTTATCTTTTGTTTCTTATTTTACATTTGGTGTTTCACCTGTCTTGCTTACAGATTTCCAGAAAACCAACACAAAGTAGGAGGTTGCCTACTGAATCTCATGCCTCATTTTAAATCTATGTATTTGGCTTACTGTGCCAATCATCCTTCTGCTGTGAATGTGCTCACCCAACACAGGTAAAATTTCTCTCATTCAGCTCCTTATCCCTGTTCTTGATGCTAGGAATTAATTTATTACATGCATAGATATCCAGTGATTGAACAAATAATTGATTGGTATGCAAGGATTCCCTTAGGAAACATATATTCTTGAGGGAAATACAGATATTCAGTGAAACACAAACATGTTATAGAAATGGAATAAAGGATGCTGGGACACTTTGTAATGCAGTGTTAATGGAATGGCCTAAGAAGAATTTTCTCAAGTAAAATTCTGTTTGGATCCCATGGGTTCATGTTTCATGTCCCAATTAATGTTTTCATTTATTTTAATGCCAGGAGTGGGGCTTGAACTCAGGGTCTAATGCTGTCCTGATGCCCTGCCACTTGAGCCATATCTCCACATCTGGCTTTTTGCTGCTCAACTGGAGATAAGAGTCACTTGGATTTGTCTGTATGGGCTGGCTTTGAACTGTGATTCTCAGGTCTCAGTCTCCTAAGTAGCTAGAATTATAAGCAGAAGTGACTGGCATCTGGCCCCCATTAATTTTTTTTTTTGGTCGGTTGTGGAGCCTGAACTCTGGGCCTGGGTGCTGTCCCTCAGCTCTTCAGCTCAAGGCTAGTGCTCTACCACTTGAGCCACAGCACCACTTCCGGTTTTCCGGTGGCTTATTGGAGATGAGTCTCACGGATATTCTTGCCCGGGCTGGCTTTGAACCGCCATCCTCAGATCTCAGCCTATCCCTTCCCATCCTCCCCCCACCCCCACCCAATCTTCCTCCCCTCCCCACCAAAGTTGTAAAGTTCGTTTTTGACATAACGACTTGTACATCTCATTGTTGCAATGGATCCACCTGTATCCCTATTTAAACAATTTGTTTTTTCCCTTCCCCACCACAAATGATACCAACATCAAATACAGTGAAAGCAGGGGTTATACCTTGGGGGAGGGACATACAAAGCAACCAAGAAATAGTCTTATAAATGTGTTAGAAACAATCACCTGAAAGAAAAAAAAAACATTTGAATACATATCTTAGGGTTCATTTCCCTAACAACTTATCTGACCTTTTCTGCTTGACTCAGACATATACTAGATATTGCAAATAAGGGAAACCATGGGACCTAAGTTTATTTGGGCCTGGCTTACTTCACTTAATATAATTTTTCCAAGTCTTTCCATTTCCTAACAAATGGGGCAATTATCATTTTTTTTGATGGAGGCATAGAATTCCATTGTGTACATATACCAGATTTTCTTGATCCATTCATCTATGGAGTGGCATCTGGGTTGGTTCCATATCTTAGCTATGGTAAATAATGCTGCAATAAACACAGTCATGCTGGTAGCTTTCATACATGCATTTAGTATGCTTTTATGGGGTCAAGAATCAGTTGGCTATACGCATGTTGGTTTCTTTCTGATTTCTTCTTCTATTCTATTGATATAAGCAACTCTTTTTATATGTCTTTTTTAGTTATTGATTTGTGTATATTGAACCATGCTGTTTTTGTTACTATGGCTCTGTAATATCTGAAATCGGTATTGTGGTATCTGTAGCATAAAGCTTCCCCCCCTCAGGATTACATTGGCTATTCAGGGTCTGTTTTGATTCCATATGAATGTTATGATTGTTTATTCTAGTTCTGTGAAGAATGTCATGGATGTTTTGATGGAAATTGCATTGAATCTGTAGATTGCATTTGATTTTAAGAACATTATTTCTCCCTATCCATCAACATGTAAGATGTTTACATCTTGTAGTGTCTTCTTCAATTTCTTTCTTCAGTGTTTTTTATTTTTTTAAATAAGTTTTTATTGTGAAAATACTGTACAGAGGAGTTACAGTTACATGAGCAAGGTAATGAGTACATTTCTTATCCAGCACTGTTGCATCCTCCTTTGTTTTTTTCCCCTACCATCCCATTCCTTCCACCTCCACAACTACACCCTCACCCCTCTCCACCCCCTATTTTCTATCACAAATATATTCACCTCCTTGGTTAGATTCATTCCTATGTTCTGTTTTGTTTTTTCCCCTGTCGGTAGTGGGGCTTGAACTCTGGGCCTGGGCACTGACCCTGAGTTCTTCAGTTCAAGGCTAGTGCTCTACCACTTGAGCCACAGCACCACTTCTGGCTTTTTTTTGTTTATGTGGTGCTGAGGAATCAAACCCAGGGTCTCATGCATGGAAGGCAAGCACTCTACCACTGAGCCACCTTCCCAGCCCGTCATTTCTGGGTATTTTAAAGGGATTGTTTGCCTGGTTTTTTTCTTAATGAGTTTATTATTGGTATATAATAAACTGTGGTTTTTCTGCATGTTGACTTTTTTACTGTTGACTTTTTTTTTTTACTGTATTTGATGTTGGTATAATTTGTGGAGGAGAAGGGAAAAAACAAATTGTTTATATAGGGATACAGGTGGACCCATTGCAACAATGAGATGTACAAGATGTTATGTCAAAAAAGAACTTTACAACTGTTGCCTGGGGCGGGGGGTGTGCGGGAATGGGAAAAGATGGGAAGGGGAAACAGGAGGAGGAATCATAGGCATGAGCCACCAGCACTCAGCTGTCTTTGGGGCTTTCCAAGTATAGAATCATATCACCTATATAAACAAAGTATTATTATTATTTTTAGAAGTATTATTTTTTGTGCACGTCCTGGGGCTTGAACTCAGGGTCTGGCCATTGTTCCTGAGCTTTTGGGTTCAAGGCTAGTGCTCTACCACTTTAAGCCATGGTGCCATTTTTTTGCTTTTTTTTTTTTTTTGATGGTGGTTAATTGGAGATGAGAGTCTCATGAACGTTCCTGTCTGGTCTGGCTTTGAAGTGTCATCTCCAGATCTCAGCCTCCTGAGTAGCTAACATTACAGGTATGAGCCATTGATGCTCAGCTAACAAGGTAATTGTTAAGTGTGTTTCTATTTATACTCATTTCATTTCTCTTGCCTGATAAATCTGGCTAAAATTTCAAGTACTATGTTAAATAAGAGTAGTCAGAGATGACACTCTTTTTTTCTTCTTGTTTTAGAGGAAATAGTTTTTCCTTATCTGGTGTGATGTTAGAAATGGGTTTGTCATATATAGTCTATATGTTGAGGTATTACGCTTCTATACTTGATTTTTTTTCAGAATTTTTATCATAAAAGGGATTATGAATTTTATCAAGGGCTTTTTCTATAACTATTGAAATGATCATGTATTTTATCTTTAATTCTATTTATGTGTTGTGTTGTTTATTGAATTTCATGTGTAAAACAATATTTGCCTCCCTAAAATGAAACCGAGCTGATCATGATATGAGATCTTTTTAATGTATTATTGATTTGCCAGTATTTTGTTGAAGATGTTTTTTTGATCCATATTTACTACTGATCAGTTTGACTGATGTTTGTCTGTAGGTTTTTTTTTGTTGTTTTGTGGTTTTGTTATCAGTCTAATACTTGCTTCAGAGAATGGGTTTATAAACATCTCTTTCCTTTCTATTTTATGTAATTGTTTGCAGAATATTGGTACTAGCCTTTCTTTTAAAAGTCTGGTAAAATTCAGCTGTGATCTGTCTTGTCTTGGTCTTTACTTTGTAGGAAGAGATTTTTTTGTAGGAAGAGATTTTTTTTGGTCCTGCTTCAATCTTATTGATATTTTTAATATTTTAAAATGTTGTCTTAGCCGGGCACTGGTGGGTCATGCCTGTAATCCTAGCTACTCAGGAGGCTGAGGTCTGAGCATCACGGTTCAAAGCCAGCCGGGGCAGGAAAGTCTGTGAAACTCTTATCTCCAATAAACCACCAGAAAACTGGAAGTGGCACTGTAGCTCAAATGGTAGAGCACTCGCCTTGAGCTGAAGAGCTGAAGGCCAGCACTCAGGCCCAGAGTTCAAGCCCCATGACCGACAAAAAAAAATGTTGTCTTAGTTCAACTTTTTCTTGGTTCATAGACAATGTGTCTTCAGAAATTTGTCCATTTGTTCTAGATTTTCCATACAAATTTTCATGTGAAATTTCAAAGTATGAGCCAGGAGCTAGTGGCTCATGTCTGTAATCTGAAAATATTCCCTAATGATCATTTAGATTTCAGTGGTATCTGTTGTGTCCCCAATTTCATTAATTTAGATTGTTTTGCTCTTTCCTTTGGTTAGTTTAGCTTGAGTTTTTAATTTTGTTTATGTTTTAAAGAATCAAATCTGTTTCACTCATCGTTTGCATTTTTAGTCTCTTTAAAAATTTTTTTTTCTTTGATCTTTATTTCTTAGTTGCCAATCAGTAGAGGAAGACTCATAATTTAAAATGGTTAAAAGGCAGGTATTGGTAAGGAAAGGTAGAAGCTACCCAACTCTTGTATAAACTATGTGAGAAGCCCTTTAAACAAAGTGGTCTAATAATAGTTTACATGAATATTTGTTGTTTTAGTATCATGAAGAATAGTGTCAACTAATTTTAACAGCAAGAATTTGCAAAAGACCTGGATGAGTGTCACATCTCTCCAATTCTTCCTTAGTCTCTGACTCTGCTTCCCTGATACATTTATTCACATATTCATGTGCGTCAGAAAATTGGATAAGATGCTCAATAGTAGACTTTAACCATTGAAATCATTGGCTAGAAATCCAGGTAGAGCTATAGCAAGACCAACTCAGAGGATCTTTTGACTGATTCAGAACAGATACGGATGCTGAAGATAACACAAGACTGAAAAGAGTATTTTGTTAATCTGGACTAGATTTGAACTGTCAGAGCCAGGCCTAGAAGATTTGCTAACACTAAACACTGGGAAGTGATGAAACTTTTGAATTTATCCTATTCTAGAACAGTTATAGAACTGTTATGTAAGGACATTTTATTTTATTTTTGTCGGTTGTGGGGCTTGAACTTGGGGCCTGCACACTATCTCTGATCTCTTTTTGCTCAAGGCTGGTGCTCTACCACTTTGAGCCACAACTCCACTGCCATGTAAGGACATTTTAAAAACAAGATCCAGTAGGTCTTATGTGAAGGTCAATTTTATTTGCCTGAT